CTATAGACTAGACTATAGACTAGACTATAGACTAGACTATAGACTAGACTATAGACTACACTATAGACTACACTATAGACTAGATTATAGACTAGACTATAGACTAGACTATAGACTAGACTATAGACTAGACTATAGACTACACTATAGACTAGACTATAGACTAGACTATAGACTAGACTATAGACTAGATTACTAGACCTAGCTATAGACTAGACTATAGACTAGACTATAGACTAGACTATAGACAGACTATAGACTAGACTATAGACTAGACTATAGACTAGACTTATAGACTATAGACTAGACTAGACTATAGACTAAAAGCTATGACTATAGACTAGACTATAGACTATAGACTAGACTATAGACTATAGACTAGCCATAGACTAGACTATAGCCTAGACTATAGACTAGACTATAGACTAGACTATAGACTACACTATAGAGACTAGACTATAGACTAGACTATAGACTAGACTATAGACTAGACTATAGACTACACTATGACTAGATTATAGGACTAGACTATAGACTAGACTATAGACTATACTATAGACACCTATAGACTAACTATAGACTAGACTATAGACTAGACTAATAGACTAGATTATAGACTAGACTATAGACTAGACTATAGACTAGACTATAGACTAGACTATAGACTAGAACTATAGACTATAGACTAGACTATAGACTAGACTATAGACTATAGACTTAGACTATAGACTAGACTATAGACTAGACTATAGACTAGACTATAGACAGACTATAGACTAGACGATAGACTATAGACTAGACTATAGACTAGACTATAGACTAGACTATAGACTAGACTATAGACTAGACTATAGACTAGACTATAGACTAGACTATAGACTAGACTATAGACTAGACTATAGACTAGACTATAGACTAGACTATAGACTAGACTATAGACTAGACTATAGACTAGACTATAGACTAGACTATAGACTATAGACTAGACTATAGACTAGACTATAGACTAGACTATAGACTATAGACTAGACTATAGACTAGACTATAGACTAGACTATAGACTGGACTATAGACTTGACTATAGACTAGACTATAGACTAGACTATAGACTAGACTATAGACTAGACTATAGACTAGACTATAGACTAGACTATAGACTAGACTATAGACTAGACTATAGACTAGACTATAGACTAGACTATAGACTATAGACTAGACTATAGACTAGACTATAGACTAGACTATAGACTAGACTATAGACTAGACTATAGACTGGACTATAGACTTGACTAGACTAGACTATAGACTAGACTATACTAGACTATAGACTAGACTATAGACTAGACTATAGACTAGACTAGACTAGACTATAGACTAGACTATAGACTAGACTATAGACTAGACTATAGACTAGACTAGACTATAGACTAGACTATAGACTAGACTATAGACTAGACTATAGCCTAGACTATAGCCTAGACTATAGCCTAGACTATAGCCTAGACTATAGACTAGACCATAGACTAGACTATAGCCTAGACTATAGACTAGACTATAGACTAGACTATAGACTACACTATAGACTAGACTATAGACTAGACTATAGACTAGACTATAGACTAGACTATAGACTAGACTATAGACTAGACTATAGACTAGACTATAGACTAGACTATAGACTAGACTATAGACTAGACTATAGACTAGACTATAGACTAGACTATAGACTAGACTATAGACTAGACTATAGACTAGACTATAGACTAGACTATAGACTACACTATAGACTAGACTATAGACTAGACTATAGACTAGACTATAGACTAGACTATAGACTAGACTATAGACTACACTATAGACTAGATTATAGACTAGACTATAGACTAGACTATAGACTACACTATAGACTAGACTATAGACTAGACTATAGACTAGACTATAGACTAGACTATAGACTAGACTATAGACTAGACTATAGACTAGACTATAGACTAGACTATAGACTAGACTATAGACTAGACTATATAGACTATAGACTAGACTATAGACTAGACTATAGACTAGACTATAGACTAGACTATAGACTAGACTATAGACTAGACTATAGACTAGACTATAGACTAGACTATAGACTAGACTATAGACTAGACTATAGACTAGACTATAGACTAGACTATAGACTAGACTATAGACTAGACTATAGACTAGACTATAGACTAGACTATAGACTAGACTATAGACTAGACTATAGACTAGACTATAGACTAGACTATAGACTAGACTATAGACTAGACTATAGACTAGACTATAGACTAGACTATAGACTAGACTATAGACTAGACTATAGACTAGACTATAGACTAGACTATAGACTAGACTATAGACTAGACTATAGACTAGACTATAGACTAGACTATAGACTAGACTATAGACTAGACTATAGACTAGACTATAGACTAGACTATAGACTAGACTATAGACTAGACTATAGACTAGACTATAGACTAGACTATAGACTAGACTATAGACTAGACTATAGACTATAGACTAGACTATAGACTAGACTATAGACTATAGACTAGACTATAGACTAGACTATAGACTAGACTATAGACTAGACTATAGACTAGACTATAGACTAGACTATAGACTAGACTATAGACTAGACTATAGACTAGACTATAGACTAGACTATAGACTAGACTATAGACTATAGACTAGACTATAGACTAGACTATAGACTAGACTATAGACTAGAATATAGACTAGACTATAGACTTGACTATAGACTATAGACTAACTATAGACTAACTATAGACTAGACTATAGACTAGACTATAACTAGACTATAGACCTGACTATAGACTAGACTATAGACTAGACATAGACTAGACATAGACTAGACTATAGAACTAAGAACTATAGACTAGACTATAGACTAACTATAGACTAGACTATAGACTAGAACTATAGACTAGACTATAGACTAGACTATACTAGAACTATAGACTAGACTATAGACTAAACATAGAAATAGATATAGACTAAACTATAGACTAGACTATAGACTAAACTATATGACTATACTAAGACGTCATGAACCTATTTCATTTCAACCTAGATTCCGGCATATTATTATCGCACTTACTGAGAGAGTCCCGTTTAAAATCACCATCACGCATCCCTCAAAATCTATCTGTCCACATCCTGTCCTTTTCATTATTTCATGTTAGAACCTATTCTTGCTCGTGCGTCCGCAATCTCATTACTATGTAGATTGCAGTGTCCTGACACCCAACGAATTCACACAGTTTCATAATTTCCCTAAGAGCATTTCTACAATCTAAGGGCAGCTTGTCTATTGACATAAATTGCCTTGAGCGACCCCAGATAGGTACAATTTCGTGCAAGTTCCGTCGCTTTCCAGAGCTCTAGTAAGTCTGTAGGATCTTTTTAAATCGGTATCAGAGATGTATCAATGTAATGTTCTATTGGAAACAAGTATAGAATGATGTTCAAGTTCGCTTGAGGTGTACTACTAATGGCACATGTAATATCAAGAGAGTCACATCTTTGAGCATCTTCATATAACTGTATGTTCTCAAGTCTTCTCATAAGTTAGAAGTAAATGAAGTGCGGCCCACCAGCTGAATCGACTAGAAAGCCATATATACATACATGGCGCTAAGGTAGTGTGAATCCATACCTAATATATACGAAAAATGGTTCGGAAAAAAGTCATGTTCGACTTTTTTACAAAATTCATTATAGTTATAATTTTTTTCCTTAGGACCTTTACTCAGATGATGACCCCCACTCATGGAGTGCATTGTTATGTAACTAGGAAAATAGATTAAGGGAGGGAGGATATGGGGAGTAGTGTTTGTGAACACTCGACTTAAATTTTCCTATATCGTAAGTGAAAGGAAAGACCTCTACTGGAAGTTTATTCCACATATATAAACATGCGTTTATCAGACACAAGATCACGTATTTTAGTGAAACACACGCCATATAGCGACGGTGCTCTAGAGAATCAGTAAAGTAGAATACCCTACTTCTACCGATAAATATCTTCACTCTCTCCTGTAAGCGGCCGATTAGTGCCAAAATAGATTTTGTAGCTTCGACTCATATAAGTAGTGTAAAAATTAGAGATAGAACGACTTAGACCGTTTTTGAAAACCGAGACACTTTAATGCTTTTTTCGATACTTAAAAAATGTGTTCAGTTCTGTGGACGTCACGCTGTATTCTCATGCCCAAAACAATATTTCCACCACCCATGATCTGACGTGCGTTTGTGCGTTAAGACAAAACATTGAGTCTTGCGGGTGTTAAAGTCGACTCTATTCTCACGTCCCCATTCAGAGTTTGTTGTTTGGTCTTACTAAGAAGTGTAGAAAGTATTTCACTTTTTTATATTTTTCAATATTGTTTCCTAAAATAACCAATGAATTTCCTATTTTACTTAATTTTTAAATTCTCTCACAATTCACAACATAGAAAATAGAAATGCAATTTAAATTATCTACATATTCTGCCTAAAAATCTTTTAATTTTAATATGTAAATTCAAATTGAACTCCACAACATATTCAACATATTTCTAACACCAAAAAAACTATACACATGACCTTGTTAATAGTTTGTCTAATAATAAAAAAATGTTTTATTTAAAAAAAAGCAGATGTTTTCTTTTTAGTAAACTAAATATGTACAATAATTTTGGTATGTATGTATATAAGAATATGTATAATTACATTCCAATATTAAGTCTATACAAGACAGACAAAAAAGCATAAAATTTAACACAATTAAAAACTACAACAAATGTGGTTATTATAATTTTAAATATTAATATTAATAATGTACAGAGAGACTATAATGGGGGGTGAAATAACATTATACGTAATGGTTTAAACAGACATTGTTATTAAATAAAATAAATTAATTATTATTATAATAGCTAAACTATACGTGACAGTATTTCTTTTGGGTATTTTTTTTTTTTTTTGTTTAATACTCTGTCAATTGTTGATTATTTCTCCATATGATTTCATGTTCTTGTTGAATAATAAACTTTAAACGTATATCTTTGTATAACATATAAATGTGGCGGAAAATAAATATTTGTAGAGCTGTTTAATAAGTAAATTAAAAAAATAATTAGGTTTTTTAAACAACTAGTAAAAGAATAATATCATGTAACTAATAATTACCTATACCAATTAAATAGGCAACAGCATCCAATAGCTGATGTTCTCCCTTGGCAACTGTTAATATAACAATTAGATATATAACATCACATATAATCCCTATAATAGCAAATATAATCCATGGAATCATCAATAAATGATGTTTCTACAATTATAAAATAATAATTTAAAATTTCCATAACATTTCCGCATAAATCATCAAACTTTACCTTAACTATGCCAAAAATAAGTAGACTGGAAACTATAGACATAACCAAACATATCACTAGATATATTATTGGCAAAGTAGTGCTGTTATTTTGCAAATTCTTTTGCGTATTATTTAGCAATATAATAAAAAATATGCCACCAATAATATAAAAAATTACACTTAAACTAGCAATAGCTAAACCAAACACTGAACTATTGCAATATTTCATAACTTTTACACAATTCTGATTACAAGTCTACTGGGCAAGATAAAAAACTATAATATTTATAATCGAAATGAAAGTGTAATTAAATGGAAAGAAGATTAAAATTTAGGAAAAAGAAATAAACATTTGTAAGTGAATAAATAAAGCTGATTTTCATTGCCATATGTGTATTTTTATTTTACGTATAAGTACCAAGTGTAAACATTATAATTCCATAAAATGAGAGCAAAATAAATTACTTATTTGTGTTGGTACTATAAGGTAATAAATACATTGGGGCAAATAGAATTGTTGATTTTTTTCAAGTTCAGGTACAATTGTTCTATGATTTCATTTTTTATATATAAATATACTAAAAATCGTACGTATTTTTATTGTTTTTCCGTGACTGGAAATACAAATCTATAAAATGCGAGGGCTTGTTTTATAGTTGATCGATGATTTTATTTTAGTAATTAATGATTAATTTCTTAATGAATTTTGTTAATTGAAGGAACATGTTGTTCTCCGGCTATGTCGAATTTTAAAAAATCTTTCATCTACAAATCTCCGATTTATGGAAATTAGTTTTTTATAAATTTTGGAAATATAAATTTGGTTTTCGCTACGAGAATTGCGCAGAACTGTTCGGTGAATTAATTTTCGGAAGTGGACCTTATATGGGAGCTAACTACTAACTAACTAACTAACTAACTAACTAACTAACTAACTAACTAACTAACTAACTAACTAACTAACTAACTACTAACTAACTAACTAACTAACTAACTAACTAACTACTACTAACTAACTAACTAACTAACTAACTAACTAACTACTACTAACTAACTAACTAACTACTAACTAACTAACTAACTAACTAACTAACTAACTAACTCTAACTAACTAACTAACTAACTAACTAACTAACTAACTACTAACTAACTAACTAAATAACTAACTAACTAACTAACTAACTAACTACTACTACTAACTAACTAACTAACTACTAACTAACTAACTAACTAACTAACTAACTAACTAACTAACTAACTAACTAACTAACTAACTAACTAACTAACTAACTAACTACTAACTACTAACTAACTAACTAACTAACTAACTAACTAACTAACTAACTAACTAACTAACTAACTAACTAACTAACTAACTAACTAACTAACTAACTAACTAACTAACTAACTAACTAACTAACTAACTAACTAACTAACTAACTAACTAACTAACTAACTAACTAACTACTAACTAACTAACTAACTACTAACTAACTACTAACTAACTAACTAACTACTAACTAACTAACTAACTAACTAACTAACTAACTAACTAACTAACTAACTACTAACTAACTAACTAACTAACTAACTAACTAACTAACTAACTAACTAACTAACTAACTAACTAACTAACTACTAACTAACTAACTAACTAACTAACTAACTAACTAACTAACTAACTAACTAACTAACTAACTAACTAACTACTAACTAACTAACTAACTAACTAACTAACTAACTAACTAACTAACTAACTAACTAACTAACTAACTAACTAACTAACTAACTAACTAACTAACTAACTAACTAACTAACTAACTAACTAACTAACTAACTAACTAACTACTAACTAACTAACTAACTAACTAACTAACTAACTAACTAACTAACTAACTGACTAACTAACTAACTAACTAACTAACTAACTAACTAACTAACTCGTTTGAGAGGCCTCTACTAACCCATTGTGATCGCCACATATTTCTTTGATAAAATTCTATATTATAAAATATATATAAATTACTATTATTTTTTATGTATTTAGGTCACTCTAAACGTGACCCTCGTACGTTTTTTAAATACGTATTATGTTAATTTTATTGTTTTCTTCGTGCCGATCCTCGTTTTTCTCATATAAATTCTTATGTCATTCTTGTTTTGGGATTTCCCATTAATAAAGGGTGTATTTTTAAGTATATTAAAAATCAAAATTTTTTATTTTTTAAATTTGTGTTTAAATGGTCGTAAATTGAAATTGGCCCTAAACGGGGGTGTCAAGAAAGTAGAAACTTGACAAGATTATTATTTATTCAATAAAGGAAATATAAAACAATCGTTATATTCGACGTTCAGAAATCCTTATTTTCCAAGAATATTTCAAAAATATTTTTACAAAATTTCACACTTAATTGTAAGTATCTACTTAATACATTTACTAAGAATTGTAAATGTCTCGTTAAGGCATTGCATTGCAAAATATGTACAATCAATTAGTTCATATCAGTTTTCATATTAACTCTAACTGGATTAATTATAACCCTAAATATTCTGCGTGACAGGTGTGTATGTGCGTATTTATGTTCTTACAAAAGGAACACCCTTTATAAGATTAAAAAACAACAAAAATGCATCAGATATCTAAAATAAAGCAGGTAGTTGAATAAAGTAACGCTAGCAAAGACCTTTTTGACATCAATGAATAAAATAAGGGGATTTATAAATAAAACGCACACACACACAAAATCTAATAAAGAAAATTAAAATTCCATAGAATTGAACTTACCTTTGAATAATACTTGCGTTTAACTAGAGCAGGGTTAATTAGGCTCTTCTTATGTGTCGTATTAGTGTTGTTGCTGCTGCCGTTACTGATATTGTTATCGTTGTAGTTGTGGCTATTTTTAATGGAATGCGTTGTCCGAGTAGAAGAACTACAGCTGGTTATAGTTGTATCTTTATTGATGCTGGTAGGGTGGCTCATTAAAGCAGCTACCAAGGAGGTTTGATCACTATTAACATCTTGTGCTTGAGACTCGTATAAATTATAATTTTGCGACATTCGTTGCAAATGTTGTTTTGATATAAAACAATAATCAATTACTTTTGGAAATTTTTAAACTCAATATTGGTAAAAAAGCAAAAGAAAATGTTACACACGCACAATTAAACTAATATTTGTATATTGTTGTTTTTGTTGTTTTGTATTATACATAATTTTGTAATTTTTGTGAAAATTTACACATTTTGCTACTTTAAGTAATTATATTAAATTGCAATTCACACACACATATAATGATTAAATAAATAATTAATTTTAATAATAATACTGTTTGCACTTAAGATTTTCTTTTAAATATTCGCTTTTAAATTCTGTATTTTTCCAATTTCGTCAAAAAAATTTCTGTGTTCCTCATCCGAAAAAATCGCAGATGATTTTGACATTTCAATCTTGTTTATGTTTTGGATCAGTGATGTTAATGTTGTTATTTTTATGCCATGTTGTGAAATATTGATGCTAGTTTAGCGAGAAGTTTTGAATTTGAGCTGTTCTAGCGATTTTTTGAACTACCAGATTTACCGATTTTTTTCATTAATAAAATTTAGAATATTCTGATGTTTTAATTTTTTATCAACAAATACATTCTTTGTTAGTTTGGTTCACAGAGCCGTATATATTTTTAATCACATTCTCTACTGCGATCTGATTTAATGAATAAAAATATTAAAAAAAAAAACTAAAAAGAAAATCACTAATTGTTTTAAAGTTAGCATCATTGTATTTCCCATATGTTTACGTTATCTTTGCCATTTGCTTTACACCATTTTTCTAAACAAAAAGTAGATAAATACAAATTTAACCGCTGTATTGTTGTTTATCATTTCGTAAAATAAATCAACCTCTTTATCAGAAAAAAATCAATAATAGAACTATAATCATTCTTTAGTAGAGTTTTAAGTAGTAGTTAATTTAGTCGGAACAAATAAAATGTTAAATTTAGTAAAATGTTTATTTATTAGTATTACATTTTGTTTATATATTTCATATACATTAGCTTCTAATGGAGATCGTACCGGTTTCTTTAATCATTGTCGCCAAAATTGCGAAAGACAAAACTGTTCAGCAGGTAAGAAATCTTTATTGAATTGTTTTTTTTTAATTCATTAATGACTTTTAATTAACTAATTAATTATTTTAGACGGTGTAGATATTCAAGAACAAGCCATAAAGTATTATCAACAGACTGTATTCGATAAATTATTACAATGGTCTTGTGCCGATGAATGCCAGTACGGCTGTATGTGGCGTACTGTTGAAGCTTTCAGGGATAGAGGATGGCCAATACCACAGTTTTATGGCAAAGTTTGTTATTGTTGGTTATTTGTTGGATTTTTAATTAATATTATATTTTTTAGTGGCCTTTTTTACGTTTTATGGGCTTACAGGAGCCGGCCTCTGTATTGTTTTCCATCTTTAATATTATTGCTCATTTACGTAATTTACGGAAGTTTCGTAAAAATGTTCGTCCAGATAGTCCATGTTATAAGTTGTGGCATGTTTTTACAGCGGTAAGTTTGTGAAAATAGAATGGGTGAAATGTTTACTAGTCGATAGTCCAGTTTATAGTCTGGTATATAATCTAGTTTATAGTGTATAGCCTATACCCTAGTCTATACTCTTGGTCATAGTCTAGACTTTAGTCGTTAGCCTATTCCATAGTCTAGTCTATAATATAGTCTATAACCTACTTATACACATTTTTAAATATTCACCAAAATAAATAATAAATTTTTTAGGTATCTCTCAATGCTTGGATATGGTCGGTGGTTTTCCATGCACGGGATTTTCCTCTTACAGAACTATTAGATTATGTTTTTGCCTACTCCATGGTTTTAACTACACTATACTGTATGGTTATGAGGTGAGTTTCCAAATAGATTAAAAAAGAAAGACATTCATATTTTTGCATTACACTTCCAGAATGTTACATCAATATTCCTGGTTTTTAAGAGCTCTTATATCGCTGGGCTTTTTAGCATATTATATTAACTATTTTGCATATATAAGCGTGGGACAATTTAGTTATTCGTTAAATATGACAACCAATATAGTAACAGGTAAATGCATTACTCTTTCTTATAAAGGAATTTCTTCATTATGATTTATTATTCATATTTTACAGGTGTTCTAAGTGCTATGGGTTGGTTTCTGTGGTCTTTTAAAGTACGCAAGCAACGTCCCTATTATCGTAAAATTTTGGGTTTCTATTTACTATTGGGTTTTAGCATGAGTCTAGAACTTTTAGATTTTCCACCCATAATGTGGATATTGGATGCTCATGCTTTATGGCATTTGGCTACAACATTTATAACTTCATTATTGTATAGTTTTGCCATTGACGATTGTCAAATGCTGCGCAAAGAAAAATATTATGAATTGGGAGCTTTTAATAAGGAAATATAAGCGTATTTTAATTATTGTCATTTACTGCTCACTATTTATAATTTTATTATGTATGTACTTTATTATATGTATTTATTATTTTTTAATTAATTATTTCTTAAATGACGTTAAACTAGGTATTTTAAAGTTGTAACTACACATATTTTTAAATAAATTGTGATCGTTTAAAAGTTTGACCGAAAAATTAATTTTTAATTTAAAAAAAGTTTAATTATGATAGCTTCTCAAGAGGAAAATGTGTCATAAAGGAATATATTGTTAAATCGAATCAGTTACGTCTTCTAAGAAGTAGCATTGCACTTAAAAGTTACATGTTATTAAATTCAAATAACTACTTACAAAGTTTTTAGTTTCTTGAGAAGTATTTTTCATGAAAAATTGCTCTGCAAGTAGATTTGCTTGAAAAATTTCTAAAAAAGTCTAAGTTTTGGATATTTATCTTAAAAATCTTCAAAGTTGCATTTTTAACAAATTTTATTAAAAAATAATATTATTTATTAATGTCATATTATTATTTACATTATATTACATTTGTCCACATTGTGCTATTAAAACCGGTAATTTTGGTTTATTATTTGGACCCGTTGGAACATTTTCAATTTTACGCATAATCAAAAGACCATCTAGAACTCTACCAAATACTACATGTTTGCCATCCAAAAAATTACACTTAGCACAAGTAATAAAAAACTGACAACCATTGGTATCTTTCCCACTATTGGCCATCGATAAAAGTCCAGGCGAATCATGTTTCAGAGTGAAATTTTCATCGGCAAATGTATTGCCATAAATACTCATAACACCAGTGCCGTCACCCTATTAATAAAAAGCAAAATGTTATAATGATATTAATGCAGAGTTTTACAGATATCAATAACTTACATGCACAAAATCGCCACCCTGTATCATAAAATCTTTTATAACACGATGAAAACTAGCACCTTTATAACCTAGAGGAACGCCATCGGGCTGGTATTCACCGGTACAGAATTGACGAAAATTTTCGGCAGTTTTGGGTACGGTATCGGCAAATAATTCAAAAATCATACGTCCTATTTCCTTTAATAAAAATTAATTAAAATGTTAGTTGGGTAAAGGACATATCCTAAATAAAACAACAACTTACTGTAGTGCCCACAGAAACATCAAAAAATACTACAGGATTATTGGGATTTCTTAGTTGAGACTGTATTTGATTCCATGTAGGCATTATGGTTTATTAATATTTTCTATTTTTTAAGTAAACAACTTATAATTATTGAACTTTTTACAAATAAATGCCGGTGTTTGGTTAAAAATCTTTTAGTTTCGTTTTGTAAACGTTTTCTAAACAAAAAATTCTACGATATTTGTTTACAGCGGTTGATTTTGGTTGTTGTAGCAACTCTGCTTTTGTTTTGAATTAAACAGCTGTTGCATTTTTTTCGGCACGTGTGTAAAAAATATAAACATTTCTGTTTTTGTTTACAATTTATAAAATTGTATTATTTATTATATTAATATAAAAGTTCTTGTGTAAAATTATTAACTAATATTTTTCCAAGGTAAAGTTTAGCTAGTTTTTATTGTATACAACAAATTGTTGATATTTTTATACGTTCTTTTATGCTGTTTTGGGTATTATTTGAGTCTGCTTCTGGCGAGGATTCCTAAAGAAGATAAAAATAAATATTTGTTATTATTTATAGTTTTAAATAATATAATTAACAAATTACAATGTCATGTTGTTGTTATTGATTAAAGGAATGTGTTTTTATACTAATAAATGTATTAAAAACGTATTACCAGTAAAAAAAATCGTGTTAAAATTTGAATTTAATTCTTAATATAATTTATATATTTTGTATTATTGCAGAAAAATGATGCATTATCGTAAAGGTGAAAATATAGAAAAACAATTGACAAAGGAAGAGCTGCCATTTGAAGACTTTTTACCTAAAGGCACGGATTTTCTATGGATGCATGTAAGTTTATTTAAGACACAGTAAAAGTGAATAAAATACTAATTTGTTAAAAACAAACTTAAGGTTAATGGTGGTACTAAAGTTAATAATGTTATAACATATGCCAAAAATGCATTAGACAAAGGAGAATACAAAAATATTGTATGGAGTGGCAATGGTGGAGGTGTAGTGAAAACAATATCCTGTGCAGAAATACTAAAGAGAAGTTATCCTCTCTATCAAGTCACCAGAATGTGCTATATAACGTAATATTTAACAAAAATTAAAAAAGGAATGAAAATAAACATTTCCATATTTTTTGTTATTATGACAGAGTTGAGGAGCATTGGAAGCCACAAATGGAAGGTTTAGAGGAAATAGTGGCCAATCGGCAAATACCCTCATTGCATATATTTATGAGCTTGGAACCTATAGATGATAATGTTAATGGGTAAGTTAAGCTATAGTATGTTGATGCAAGCATTAACCTTCCTATTTAAACTTAATATATTGCAGCTTACAAAAACCCAACACTATCACAGATTTTTGGGTTTACAATAACAATCAGAACAATTCAGCGACCAGCTCAAATAACAATAGCAATCATAGACAACGTAATAGCAACCAAAGTCAGAGAAGACAACATCCAAATCAAAATAGAAATCCTCAACAACAACCACCACGAACAAATGCATCAAATAATCCAGATACTTCAAATGAAGCTACTAATAGGGAAGGAGGTAATCAACCGAGAAAGTCTAATAACAATAATTCAAAAAGAAGAAGACCTAATCAAGGTCGTGATACACAAAATGCGCCGAAAAAGGAAACTAATACAAATCAGACTGAATCAATGGAAATTTAATGAAGTTAAAGTAAATAGTTTATGATATTTTTCAAGATATATAATATTAAAGTGATCATTCAGTGTATAATTAACAAGAATTTCCTGTTATTGCTGTTAAAGATATATCAAAGTTTTTTGGATCAACGGTGAGTATTATTCTGTTTTATATAGTATATGAAATTTGGTCAAATTAGACTTTGTTTTTTATTACCATTTGGAACTTTTAAAATAAAGTCCTTTTTCGATTGTGATCATAAAAAGTAATTTTTAACCCTAGACACAATCCAATTTTGTTAAGTGCAAAATTAAGGTTTCTGTCTGCGCTTTGTCGAATAGCGAAACTTTTACGAATGAAATTACCTTAAAATAAAACTCAAAATGTACCGGTTGCTACGATAAAGTACCAATTAGTCATTTAATCAGAAAAATCAAAATCAAATCTTACAGATTTCCATTCACTCTTGAGCCTCAATATTTAATTTTTGGTTTCTAGGTTCAAGATTATAGAAAAATCAAAAAGTACCAGTTGAATAATAAACATGTACCTTAAAACTCAAAAAGTACCAGTTGAAGAACGAAAAGTAACAAAAAGTTCCGTTTCATAGATTCTAATTCTCTGAATGCTTAATTTCATCGTTCAGTATTATAGAAACACACAAAAAGTACCGGTTGAAAAACGAAAAAGTACCAAAAATTCCTTTATATAGATTTCCATTAACTCAGGCTTCTGAATCTTTAATCTTTAGGAACAAAAGAGTACCAAAAAGTCCCCATTTAAAGAATCGCATTTAATCAGGATTGAACATGCTTTTTTACATGTTTCTAGCTCCTATATTAGAGAAAAGTAAAAAAATTACCAGTTGAAGAACGAAAAAGTTCCAAAAATAGTTCTTGGTACTTTTTTGCTGTACCTTTTTTTTTTAGTTTAGGATATATGTGGCCACCGTATTTACCCATTTTTACTCTTTTTACTCCCAGAACAATAGAAAAATCCCGTCTCGGGAGACAAATCTACTGTCCGAATTAGTCTGTGCGATGATGAATCAATTAGTCAGCAGTTTTTCAACACAATGTAGATCTTGTCGTTCCTTGGCTTCGTAATATATACAAAGCCTGCCTCCTATATTCCTATTCAGTGGACCAAGTGTAACCAAGGGTTGAAAACTTCACATACTAAAGCTAAAGACCTTTGAATTGTTCTACGGTGCTCTAAGAACAACATCTACTTCAAAGGCAATGTTTGCTATGCTGAACTGGTTTACAGCAGATCTTCTAGCCAATCAAATGGAAATGTACACTGATGCCAGGTTGAGTTTAACTGGCAAATGGAAAACCTGTTCCAGGAGTCCCCTGAAAATCACTGATCTTCCGCCGACACTTCGTGGGGTACCACGATTTACAATAAAAAGACAGATCATAGACATCTGTTATTCCAATGCTCTGAACCGTGAGTTGATTGAGTACACTTGCTAGATCGTTGTGGCCTCATATGGGCCCATGTAGAGCCTATCCCCTTCGTCTTCATAGATTACAACTAGGTAATCTGATATCGATCATTACGGGACACTGCAAATTTGGTAAATATAAAAGACGTATTGGTTTTCCATATAATGACTTCTTAAGAAGTTGTCTGCATGAGGATAAAGAAGAGACGGTAAGCTCATCTTTTTGTAACTGTTTTGCTCTCAAACCCAACCTCTCAGGTCGATCTACTTCAACGAACTATCTGATCTATCGAATGTTAAATTCGAACGACTCTGAATCTGTCAAAATGGGCTAGAAATAATCTTCATATTACGTCTATATTCAACGACATGTTTGCCGTTTCTTCCCTCTTGATCCTTTCTTTCTGTCTCTTCTATCTGTCTTCCCACTATCTCTATTTTTCTCTCGGAATTTTAACAAAGAAATCTGCACTGGCTACCTGCTAAAACCTAACCTATGTACGATCTCTTAACTCCACAGAGTGTCGCCTCCTTTGGGAGAAGGAGTGATTGCAATTGACGTGAACGATCTTCTCAGTTTTTGCACTTTCTCTTTCAGTTTTCAAGAACTATTTAATTTTATATTTACAAAGCAGAAGGAACTGTTATGTTAAAAATAAATGAATGTCTCATTCCTTAGGAATCGAAATAAAAACGAAATAATTGTTTCCCCTACCCAATATTACATGCAAGTGGTTTTGACACTGCAAAATCTTTTGCAATTGAACTTTTTCTTTCTTAATTTAACGTCAATGTAAATTTAAAATAAATTTTTCATTTGACATTCGTCACAAAAAAGCACAAATCGTTATTTTTAAAACGATCACTTAGTTAGTCATCGTTCATTAATAACAAAATGCAATTGTTGATAATTTCGTCACTAGAAGAAGAAAGACGAGCCCCTCAAGGTTTTGACAAAGACTAATAGTACAATATAAATTAATTTAACAGGTTGATGACAGTCTATAGCAATTGATTTTAAATGAAAAGAAAAAGAAAATAATGTGTTTTACGTTTATTTAAACAAATATTATGTAAAAAAATAATAATAAATACTTTACAACAATAGGTGGTGGTACATTTAATAAATTCTTAAAATGTGTTTCATACGTTTGCGAGTAAATTGAATAATTTAATAACGTTACAAAAAAGGACAAATATTACAAATGAATTGATTTCAAAACGGACCTAATAGTAGGACCTTGATATTTCTGTGTTTTGATATTTTAAATTTATCATTTATTTATTATTTTCAAATTCATTAAATGCAAAAATTATATATAAATTAAAAAAAAAAATAGGAAAATGTTAGCTACATAATGCAATAAATAAATAAAATGATGAAGGAAACAGATTAGGGAGCACAATACATACAACTTATTTTAAACTAAACTAATAAACAAAAAAAAATCTCTTAAGTAAATACTAGTACATAAATAGTATGCAAATGATATAAACAATTATACATTCTACTAAAACAAAAAAAAAAATAATACTATTTTTTATGGAAACATTCTTGTAGGAAGAAATGAATGAATGATTTGAATTATTTTCAATTGCTTGCCTCATCGGTATCAACATCTTGTATGCCTTTCAGTTTATTTTGTTGATTATCGGCTGTGGCTTTTAGAAAACTCTGTAGCATGGCATTTGAGTCCACCACTAAAATGGGCGTACAACCATCTTTAAGATGTTCACTTTGTGATTCATACATTTCGCGTGATATACTGCGTGTGAAAGAGAAACGTAGAGATTTGGTACGGGTAAGCTTCTTTTTGATTGGTGGTTTTCCAGTGATCGGTTGTGGTTCTGAGGGCATTTTTTCTTTTTCTGGTGTGGGTGGTAGTGAGGAGATTTCCATGGTTGCATCACGTAGTATATCTTCGGCAAAGGATTTAATATCTGTCCAAGCATCGACTGTAAGGAGAGGGAACAAAGGGGAAATTTGAGGTTAGAATAACTGTTACATAAAAGAACTTCTATAGTCTATGGGCTAGCCTATTCATAGTATTTTGGCTAGCTAATGAATTAGACTATGGACTATTCTATGGATTAGTCTATTGACTAGTCTATGTAATAGTTTATGGACTAGTATATT